ATTTGAACACAGCATTAGAAATATATTCTCTAGGAAAGTCGATCTCCAGGAGGAGGGTTGCTGACCACTGTTCTAAATCATTGGAGTATTCCTTTAAAGAACCAGTGGCTTTGATCCAAAGAACACTTTTAGCCTTTATTTTTAAATTTGCACATTTTCCCAGAAGAACTCTACACATTTGACTCTTTCATGCATTCACGAAGACACATCCCGCAGAAAAGAGAAAGCGACACAAAAATCCAGCCATTTGTGCTTTTGAAGACCCCTGGGTAAGGAAAACTCAGCTAGCACTTGATGCAGCCTCTGTTATCCTTTCAAATCCCTCCGATGTGCAGCTAGCCTGAGGAAGGCAATTTAGCCTGTTTTCAGGACTCTGTGTGTGACTCTCCAGAGGAAACTGTTAGCTTCATGCATTAATCAGTGGCAAACGCTTTACCCACATACAAGCACACATATACTTCCACAGAGCTTCGTCACACCTGCTAACCCAAAGAAACAGCATCTTGGGAAATCTGTCATAAATAGTTCTAGCATGACTGTGAAGATATTCTGTCAGCAACTGAAAGGTCCAGAAGTCCAGAGAGGCCATGTTGCTATAATTTTCTGAATTGTTATCTTGAGATAATGAGTCAATTATCTTGTGATTTCAGAAGATAATTAACTTGTTATTTCAAGACAACAACTTTGTTATCTTGAGATCACAAGATGATTAACTCATGTCTCAAGATAACAACTTTTGCTATCTTAAAATAACAAGATAATTAACTCGTTATCTCAAGATAACAGTACAGAAGATTATAACTACCTCATGGCGTCTGTAGAAAACCCTGTCCATTTGAATGCTGCAGAATTATACTAGCCTTTGGCCACTTTCTTAAAACTTGAAAAAGTTCATTTTTGCTTTGTTTTCGCTTTTCCGAAGTGAGCTGTGTGAAATCACATCAGAGAAAAAATCCAGAATTGAGTTTTAAATTGAGTTTTAGACCCTAAGTTTAGCACTTCACTTTTGACAGTTGCTAACTTTAAATTTAACCTCTTTTGGCAGGCCCCCTAGTGGCCATTCCACCAGGGGAATGTCAGTTGTCTTGGATAGCTTGTAGTGAGTATTTTTTATTTGTATAATTGAATGAAATATTTTTTTCTGTAACTCTTTTCAGATTAAGTAGGCTGTTGGTTCTCTGTGTGCAAAATTTTGTAACTCTGTGTTGAGCTGCTAGTGAGCAATGAGAGGTAAAAGCAGAGAGGTGAGAACCTCTTGCTCTGAAAGCAATTCATACCTCTCCACAAAGACAACTGTGCTGAGTTAAAACAAACAGCACAGTTGCAGATTTCTTCATATCAAATAATTATGTATAACTGTCACAATAAAAATGGCATTTAAACATAATAAAAAACTATTTTTATAAATATTGACTTTCTTGCTCACAGACAAAGATGAAAATCCAAATTCCATCCAGTCTTGTAAGTCAAACATAAAGAAATCTAGTGTTATTGTAAAAAAGATTTCATTTTATAGCTACTGTGAAAAGGGCTTGAAACATTTTAAACTTGCTGCTTTAAATTCAGAAGGAAACATCCAGGGCTTTCATAGAAGGCCTAAATTGGTGGGAGCCAAAAAGAATACATGAGCATGTCCATGTTAGTGCTAACATTACTACTAAATTCCCATAGGGGAGCTAACAGAAAGTAGTGTTATTGTAGAAGTGTTTTTTTACAGTGGTTTTGACATTTATGGCCCAAACTGAAGGCTTAACTCTAATAGTCACTCTTTGCCACTGTTTAAATGAATCCCCTAAGGATTTAACTTATGATAAATATGTGATATGTATGCAGCTACTGACCCACTAAACCGTCCACAATAAAAATAATCAAATAAGCAGTGAACACTTACAACTCCCCTGTGTGCGCTTAGCTGTAGCAACTAAATGCCTTCATATGAGCTGTGTGAGTGCAAAGGTCAAGCAAATTTATGCTTCAGTTTTTACTATGAAAGTGGTCAACAAGTGAATATGCTGTTCCACCAATGAAAATAATAACATGACAGATTTATTGTTGTCTTCAGTTCATGTTTCAGACACCATTAAGCATCCTGAAAGCCTCAGGTAATTTCCTTCTCTGATTCTGTTATCCTTTGGCAAACTGACTATATTTGGCAAGTATGGTACATTTCCTAAGGCAATCCCTAAAAAATCCTTACAAATGAAAACAAAAAACACCCAAAGGGTTCTATTAAAGACTTTTATGCCAGATACCAGGTTATATGATTGAGAGGTTGTAGATAAGGCAATGTGGTGATCTCACACAACATGGTGCTTCCCTAATGAGTGTTATTATCAGGCGGAAATATCAAGCTTCCTTATCAGGTTTTATCAGTCCAGATCTGCTCTATCTGTTACAATAATAAGGATAGAAGGAAGAGAGGGACAAAATCATTTCATTTACGAGATGTTAATGATTCTGTGGGCAACATGTCTGGACTAGAAATGCAGACGTTGTCCATTGGAGGCATTCTTGCACTGTAAGTCCACCAACTACCAACAAAACCAGTTTCATTACTGTATTTAATCTGCCGTTGTTGACTTGCCCTCCTTTACGACTGTGCATCACGTCTACTTTACACAAGTAGCAGAAAGGGAGGAGGGGAGTAGATTTTTCAAATGTAAAGCATTCGCCCTCGACTAGGTTAGCCTCATTGAGCTAATCAGCTAGCCATCCAAACTTCGCAATGCAAAACTTGAACATAACATACATCAAATTTGTGAGTAATTGATTTTCCTGGCTGTAAACTTGACGGATTCACTCACAGGAAAATGGCCAGGCCAAGTGGACGAGGGCTTGTTAAAGCTGCTGCGCTACATAGCATCTTCGTTTTCTGTGGCAAGTGCCAACAAGAGCTGCAGAAAGCAGCATGGGCCTGTGCTGCTGATGCCAAACCAGCATAAGCTGACTCTCATTAAGGGCAATACAAGCATGAGCCTCATATCCTACGGCAACACCACCAGGGTCGAACGTGAGCCGAGGTCCAGCAGCTGTGCCACTAGGTGTTAGCATTAGAAGCTAGCATTAGCTTAGCGAGAAGGCCTAAACAGCTTTACTCACAACAGGTTCATTCACTCACTGAAGCCTCACTGGTGCAAGTTTAGGGAATAGAAACTCAAACCTGAGCAGGTAAACCTGTGTTTTTGTGTGTGGAGCTGTTAGCTTAAGCTACTTTATATTCTCATTAGTACCAGAGCGAGAAGGCTAAACCACCAGCAATTCTGGCTCACTGACGCTGCACCGAGGCAAGTTTAGAGGATAAAGACTTAAAGTAAATGAGAAGTCAAGGGGGCGTTTTACATTTGCATAATTGTATTGTTTATAATTTGCATAAGCTTAATGAGTATAGAGGTTTAGAAGCGCTGCTATGCTGTTTTTTGGTAGTTTCTCAGGGCATAACAATAAAACACAAAAATATTTAACAATTTATTATTATTATTATTATATTATGCACCAGATTTTGCGTACTTTAATTTATGACTGTAGAGCTACTTTATTATTTCAAAACCACTAAAGTTAATTTGCTTTAATTTTGGTAAGCTAAAGGATACGCAACTATCAACAAAAATGAAGGGCAGTGCATCATGGTACTAAACCTGAAGCCTGATCCAGGCAAAGCAATTATTCACAAAGTTTAGGTACTTCATGCTTAGATCAGGGGAGTCACCAGCCCCGAACCTTATAACGTTAACCTGCCACACGTTTCAACCCGACTCGATTACACATCATTTTCATCATCTATGGTTTCAGTCTAGGGTGCATTCACCCACTAAGCTAACTCAGACAGAGAGAGAGAGAGAGAGAGAGAGAGAGAGGCATGATAGAGAGAGCATGAGAGAGAGAGTGTGAAAGAATAGAAAGAGAGAGAGAGAGAGTGTGTGCATGGGAGAAAATGCACGAGTGCATGAAATTTCTATTTTAAAGGCAAATTTACTAAACGATCTTCTATATTTAAAATACTGCTTCCTGTTTGGTTTTAGGCAAGAAGAGTTTTACTGAATGACTATTTAGCTTATAAAATATATAAAAGCTATAGATGAAATGCACAGCATATTCTGAGTTTGGATGCATTTTACATGTTTTTGTTGTTCTCACTATGATGGTGTTTTGTGTTGAGGTTAAGGCAATGAGTTTGAACAGTTTTGTAGTGTAAAGCAACGTTATGCGGGGTATTTAAGTGAGGGATTAACCAAACTAGGCTGATTATAGTTAATCTAACATGTTCAAGAGTGAGCAGAACTTGTAAAAAAGAGCACTGCCAGCTCAACTGTATCTTTATAAAATGATACAGCTGTTTAACCCAAAAGAGTTATTTAAGCTTGAACCTGTTAAGTAACTTGACTTAATTTTTTCAAGGCATTAAGTTTGCATGCTGTTTTTATTTAAAGTCACCTAATCTAAGTTTACAATGCACTTCTACTGTGTCTTGTTGTTGGAACAGAAAATAATGTTGTGTTTGAAAATCTTAGAAACTGTTGCAGAGCATGTTTAGCATGTTCTCAACCTAGGGGCTAAACATTGGTGATAGGAACCAGGGGTCGGGATGTCTACAACTCACCAGTAGCCAATGGTAAAATAGTAGTAAAACAAAAAAACAACCCAAATTTTCTTTGGGTACGGTTTTGCGCCAGAACACCCTGTACCACTCCACTATGCATTTGTTTTTTAAAAAATACATTTTAGGCCAAAACCTTATCTCAGAACTCTTTCTCAGGCATCAGATACAACATTACATGCAATACCTTTCTGTATAGTAGCTTTTAAAGGGCATTAAAATCTTCGGATGTCTGGTTCCTATCACCACCACTGTGAGCAATTCTGACCCAGTTTCTCTAAAATGGAGCACTTCACAGCAAACTACTCTGAATGACTTCTTAATGCAGTAATTCTGAATTCTGTTGGTGGAATTCCCCTTCAACAGCTCACACTTGGATCAGTTAATTAGGCAATGTCTCACTCACCCAAGAGGCTTCTCCAGCCGACTCGCTGGTGACCCCACAATCTCACCCAGGGTGCAGAACATCTGCCCGAGGAAATCCTGGAGAAGCAGGTGGAGAGAGAGAGGAGGGTGGTGGGGAGTGGGGGAGGGGGTGGTTGAGATTTAGAGCAACAAGATTGTCATGTCCCCCCCTCCCTACGGCTCTCTTTGCTATCTACGGTAATAGATTGAAAGGCTTTAGACGTACGTTGCATTCTGAGGGCTTCCAGGAGCGAGGGCAGGCAGCCATGTTAACAACAGAGCACAGCATGTAACAGAAAGGATAAGACACAAACAAAATGGTGGCCATAAAAAAGCCCAAGGACTCCATTACTGTACAAACCAAGGATGGTAAAATCAGGATGGAAGAGTATGGGCTATCCTACTGGTGAAGACTAGATGACAACCACCAATTTTGACAGCAAAACGACGAGCAAATCAGCAAGTATCCAAATATATGCTAATGCTACAAGAATCTATGATGATCTTATTGGAAATTATGAATGGTCTGTGCTTTTTGTGTCCACTTTGGTCTCTTTGATCAAATGTCACTGGTTATTAAGCAGACGTACCAAACAAAGTGCTAAAATAAGGATGAAGCTAATAGAGTGGCCTAGATACAGTGTGGATTCAAAAAGCGTTGATAATATACTGTATACATGTTTATTACATGAGGACAGATCAGGAAGCGAGACATTCAAATCATAAATATTTAGGGCTGAAAGTGAAATGAAGTCAGATATCTACAGCAATCTCCTGTATTGAATGTAATACAAACTGTATTTTCGAGGAACATTATATCCAACCCATCCCATTACATTCAACAATATATTTGGATACTCAGTACTGAAACTGATTTGCATGTAAAAGGCCTTTGTCGACGCCTGTGGACAGTACTCACGTGTTTTGAGAGGTCTGGACTTTTAGAGTCAACATCGTATCTGAAATATAAAACACAAGCGCATTGTTAGATCAGTTTTTGGATTCAGTCTCAGAATATACAACCAAATAAAGATAGAAAATGTTTAATCATTGCATTCAAACCAATCTTTGTGTTAAAGTAATAGTAATACCAACTCAATTCCAAAAATGTTGGGACAATGTGTGAAAGGCTAATAATAAATAGTAAATTCTCAAAAACATGTGTTGTCATTCCAAATTTTATCCCTGCAACATGTTCCAAAAAAGTTGGGACAGGAGCGTGTTTACCACTGGGTTGTATCACCTTTATTTAACACTTAATCATTTGGGCACTTAAGACTGAAGACAATTGATTCAAGTTTTTTGCTATTCATCTGCTATATAAGGGCCTTAAATGAACGCGCCATCTATTTCCAATGAGAGACAGGTCTGGAGTGCTGATTAGCACACTCTCTGATTACACACCATGCTGTTGTAACACATGCAGAATGTGGATCAGAGTTATCATGATGAAATAAGCATGGGTGCCCCTGAAGAAGACACAGTTTTGAAGGCAGCACATTTTTGCTCCAAAATGTGTCTATATATCTTTTAGCACTAACCCCTTAAAATCCCAGGCTTATTTACATTCCAAGACTTATTATTCAGTAACTACATGGACTTCAATGCAAACTAGCTGAGCTGTTTTAGGTTATAGAAGTGTGTAATAAAACTTGCCATTTAATGGGTTATTGGTTCCTTCACAGATGCTGGGGTTACTCATGCCATGGGCATGAATACACCCCCCTACCATAACAGACCCTGGCTTTTGAACTTTATGCTGGTAACAATCTAGTTCTTTTCTTCTTTGACCCAGAGAACACAACGTCCATTATTTCTTTAAACAATCTGAAAGGTTGACTCGTCAGACCACAGTAGACGTTTTCACTGTGTATCAGTCCATTTCACAAGTCAAAAGCATTTCTCGACGTTGTTGACAAGTGGCTTCCGCTAAGCATAAGACAGTCTTAAGTCGTATTTGGGGACGCATCGCCAAATGGTGTTTATTGACAACAGTTTGTCAAACCATGCTGATACCCATCTGAGAAGCATGCCAATTATTAAGCAGTGCTGTCTAAGGGAATTGAAGGTCACGGACATTCAGTTGTGGTTTTTGGCCTGGAGATTCCTCTGAATTCCCTGAATCTTTTGATATATATCATGCATTGTAGAGAGTGGAAGACTGAAAATTCTTACAAATGCTCATTGAGGAATGTCGTACTTAAATTGTTGGATTATTTGCTGATGCATTTTTTGCAAAGTGGTGAGCCTCAACTCATCATTGCCCATTCCTGGATGCTCCTTTTATACGCAAGTGTAAGTGCATGAATTGTTTAAGACGTTTTTAACATTTCACAATGTTTCAAGTCTTAAACTGTGCATGTCCAAGCTTTTTTGGTACATGCTGCAGGAATCAGTTTCACAATGAGTGTGTTGATGAGATAAAACATGAAAAAATATTTAAAAAAGGTAAAACATTAAATATCTTGTCTCTTAAATGTAGGTCAAAGTGGATTCCCTGCTTTCTGTAATAGTTTGTATTTCAAATACTGTCCCACATTTTTTGGAAATGATGCTTACATTTGTGCTAATATTGTAATAGAAGTGATACATAACAGTATCATAAGCAATAGCAATAGTTAAAGTAATAAAGTAATTCCAGTTGTGGAAAGCAAAAAGCAGTCTAAACCAATTTGCCAATCTCAGCTAAACTCAGAGAAACAGATACAGCTTAAAACTTCTACCTTTTTGAAAGAATAAGTTACATTTGTGGGTTAATGGATAGTTTGAACTAAGCATGACCTGTTGCACTTCATCTTCCAGCACAAAGATGTCTGTGTAAGGGTGATGAAAAATATGCTGTTATCTGTATATGAAAGAGTACTATAAAATGGAGCCTTTGGTGAGATTTGAAGGCTTTGAGTGGGCTTGGTGTTTCTATGGAGAAGTAGAAATGGAAAATCATCTTAACACTGATTAACCCCTAAAGCCACAAAAGGCTGGCATTTTCTTATCATGTCCAGCTCTTGTAAGCTTAGTGAGGAGGTCACCAAGCCATTCAGTACCAGTGAAATGCTATAAACTCAGTGCCTTTTTTCAAAGAAGAGAAATTCAAAGTAAACGAAGAAGGCATTGATATAAAAGCACCTTCTGTATTCAGTATTCAGACTCAACAAAGCAACTCACACTGGTTTTTTCAATGAGCAAAGAGGAAACGTACAAACAAATGGCAGGTAAGGATGTGCATTTGGACTAATTACACGTATCCATAAGAGTTAATGAATGAACATTTGGTTAACCATAAGGAAGAGGAAAAAAAGACTATGGCTAAAGGCTGTGGGCTTACTTTTTTAGGTGGTAGCACAGGTGTTACATGGCTAAAAAAATTAATAGCACAAATGCTTTGAAGCTTGCAGAGGAATACATCTGAAAATATCCAGTTTTCAGAGAAAAAATACCTAAGCCAGATGAGCCAAAACATTATGACCACCTGCCTAATGTGCTGTTGGGCCACCATGTGCCACCAAAACACTCAGTGAAGCCTGGACTCCACAAGACCTCTTGTTGCCCTGGTATCTGGCACCAAGACATTAGCAGCACATCCTTTAAGTTGTGAGGCCACTGCAGATTGGTTTGTCGTTCCAGGACATCCCACTTGTTCAGATTGAGATCTGGGGAATTTAGAGGTCAGGGCAACACCTGGGACTCTTCGTCATGTTCCTCAAACCATTCCCGAACAAGTTAGTGCAGTGAGGCAGGGCGCATTATCCCGCTAAAAGGCTACGGATGGAATACCATCGCCATGAAGGGGTGTACATTTTCTAGGCAAGTGGCACATGTCAAATTGATGTCCACATGAATGCCTGGACCCAGGGTTTCCCAGCGGAAGGTCACAGTCCCTCCACCCACTTATCTTCTTCCCATAGTGCATCCTGGTGCCATAACTTCCCCAGGTAAATGGCACACACACACTTGGCCATCCACGTGATTGTGATCAGTCGCTCCAAGCTCCAGTTCCAACACTTGCATACCCATTGTAGGCATCTTAGACAGTGGACAGAGGTTGGCGCGGACACTCTGACCTTTCTGTGGATACGCAGCCCCATACACAGCAGGAGATGCACATTCCTCCCATAACCATCATTAAAACTTGATGTGATTTGTGCCACAGTAGTACTTCTGTTGGTTTGAACCAGACAGGTTAGCCTTCATTGCCCTTGCGCATTGGTAAAGCTTTGCCCTGTCGCCGGTTCATGGTTTGTCCCATGGTTGGTAGGTACTCACCACTGCTGACCGGGAGCATCAAACAAGCCTAGTCATTCCTGAGATGCTCCAACCCAGTCGTCCGGCCATAACGATGGCCATCTCCCGCATCCATCCTGTTAACTACATAAACTAAGTGCTTGCCTACTATCTAATATCCTAGACCTTGGCATGCGCTGGTGTTACAAGATCATCAGTGTTATTCACTTAATCTGTGAGTGGTCATAATGTTGTGGCTCATCGGTGTGTATTTTTTACTGTTTATGCACCTAGCTAACATCATCTAGGGTAGTTATTTTACTTAGCAAAAATGGCACCAAAGGTGGCTGCAATGTCTCTTTTCCTTCTCAGTCGTGTCCTGGACAATGCATCCTTGGCAATGCAAGCATGTTAAGGCACTCTTATTTTGTGGTGTGTAGTATAATGTTCATGTTTGCAAATATGAGCAAACCTGTCACATTTTACAGTCCTGTTAAGCATAAACTTAGAGTTTCACTGAATTGTTAGCCTGTACATTTTCTCTGTAGGGAACAAAACGAATATGGAATAGCGATTTCAGTATTAACGTACTGACATCTCAACCAAGTACCCATATACATCCCTGATGGCTACTATTTTCAAGATGAAGTCTAAGTAAGAGTAGTGCTGCATGGCAGTAGTTTCTGAGCTGAGAAAGTTGGTGCAAGAGAGTCTACACATCCAAAAAACTTGATTCTGTACAAAAGGACTGTCAGAGGATAACTCACAAGTCAAACCGAAGGTTCTGCTTCTCCTCAAAGAAGTAGTCGAGGATGAACTTTCTGACAAAGTCTGGATTTAGTGTGTTGTCAATCACCTCCGTTCTTCCAAACTAGAGAATGAATTGAGGGCAGAGAGGTAGTCATGGTAAGAGAGATTGGATATTGGGGAGGGAGGAAGGGGGAGGGGGGTTTGGAGGGGCACAGGTAGTGGGGAATGGAGAGGAACGGAGGAAATAAGAAAGGAATTGGAAAAAGAAGGGAGAACAAAATACAATAGTCAGATACCAGAGAGCAAAGAGATAAGTGTTAAAGTGGAAATCACAGCTTCTTTTCAACAACAATAAGGCAATATAATCTCTCTTTCCTCCCCTCCCTCTATAGCTGCCTCGTTCCTTCTTTTTCAAAGACATGGTTAAAGATACAAGCATGACCTGGTGAGGTGTACCTTCTCGTATTGGTCAGAGAGAGAGAGAAAGAGAGAGAAAGAGAGAGAGAGAATGGTGAGGATGCTGCTCCTGCCTGCCAGGCCTAATTATAGCCACGGCCCCACTCCTCTAAGCTCAAGAGCGCAGGAGATTGGCGACAATTACGCCTGCTTAATTAGAGCCTCCTTCACCCAATACTGCCCTGAATTCCAGCGGAAAACAACGCAGAGCGCACTACTCCATTATTTACCCACACTTGCCTGGCAAAAATGGACAAAATAACTGGAATCGTCCACTTCTTCATTTTAGCACTATATTCACTCATAAGTGCTTCTGTGCGACCTTTTGAACTAATGGGCCAAGCCTGGCATACGTCGTCCACATTTTTGCACTGCATTTTGTGTTTACCATGAATCATTTACCATGAGAAACAGATCTCAGTCAGTATGAATACATAAAAAGGCCACACTCAGATTCTGTTCTCATAAATTGCTTTAAGAGAGAGTGAGTAAAAGCATTAGTCCAGCAGCCCCAGCAGAATGAAATGAAGCTCAATTCTGATTTAGCTTATGCAAAGTAAAGGAACCATGAGTGGCTCTGAACAGTGGTGAAATATCTAGCATCCTCACCATCTCAAGCTGTATCTCTTGCAACTCTTGCAATTTATTTTATTACAAAATCTCGAGTGCCAATTCCCAGTACACCAAATCTAATCATTGTCCATCTATTCCTTCTTTTAGGCCTTCGTCTGAAGTACCAACGCATCCGATCCTTCCATTATATTTTAAGAACTGATTCACACATAAAAATATTGACACTGTGGTCTATTTTTTCCTTTTTTATTTTCTATCTTTCATATTTCAGAGCTAACCAATGACTGATCAAACAGCTACTTGTATGCGTTTACAGTAGAATGTCTATTGTTCTGACATAATCTTTAGAGGATATACCAATAGTTGCAGGGGAAATACACAGCATAAAGGCCTTTATGCTAAGACTGCTGAAATTAAATGAAATGTGTTTTTAAGCTTAAAAAGGGAGGAAAAATAATTGCAGCAAATTTTGTGTAGGATATGAACTACTTTTCCTTCTGTTGTCTCCTCCTGCTCCTCATACAGAAAGAAAACAAAGCATCCTTGGGAGATTTTACCACAAGCTACAGTACTGTGCAAAAGTCAGAGACCAGAGACATTTGTTTATTTCCAGCCAAAACAGCCATTAAGTATATTTTAATGGTATATTTTAAAGTATATTTTTGAATAGATTAGATAATCCACTTACATAAGGAAGAAGGAAGTCAAAAGAAAAAAAAGTGGAAAAACAGAAGTTTCCAGCTTATTAAAAAATACAGAGAAAATGAGACCCCTAACAATAGTGTCAGATCTGTTAGACCACCATAACTGTCCCCATCAGATAAACAGAACTCAACACTGTGGGTCTGAAAGGATGTGTGGCCGCCAAGAAGCCATTATTGAAAAAAACAGAACAATGGACTGACCATCCCAGAGTCCAGACCTCAACATAACTGAATGTATTTGGAATTTCTCTGATTGTAAAAAGCAGAAAATGCAACCAACATCTAAAACTAAACTTTAAAGACCTGAAAACATATCCCTGCATATTTCTTTGAAAAACTGAAAGTAAGGCTCTTGAAAAGAATGGAAGCTGTAATAATGGTGAAGGGTGATTATAAAACAGATCCAGTTCCAGTCCTAAAATCTGATTGACTGAGCCGCATTTGAAGCCGATGTAAAATACACGATATACACACACCTATGACTGCCTTACAACAACTGAACTTTGCATTACTGCGCCACAAAAAATCCTTGTGCTGTTAGTGATTGATCTTTGACTCTAATATTGTCCACACTGACTAAGTAAGAACCCATTTTTTGTTTAAATTGAGGGACTGACAACTTATTTTAACTAGATTATGGCTGTTTAACTAGAACTATGGCTGTTCAGCTAGCTAACGGGCTAAACAGCTCCATAATTAATATCACAGGTTTGAATTAAAGGTCTTACAGTATGACTCACTGTACAACTGCAATATAAAACACTAAAGAATGTCTCTTGAATGGCTTATGCACTTCAAATGTCCACGTTTTGGTCAGAAGTCTCATCAAACCCAGGCTGAATCTCAAACGGCTCCGTACTCCCTAAATAGTATGCTAGCTACGTAAGTTTTGAAATTCTACCTTCTACAGCCAAATAGTCCACTACTTTTCGAGTATGGATGTGGATAAATCTGCTTTGTGTCATGCCTAAGAACACCCTTCCCTGTGGTAAAATCACAGTAATGCATGGCCTCTCATGGCTTATTGCTTTAACACACTAAATACTGAAAATATTGTAAAGTTCTGCTTTATATGCGTTTTTGCTTTTTTGATGCTGAAAAATGAATGACTGGTACTTGATGGCTGTTTTAACTGGAAATTATATAAGGGTAGTCTCTGACTTTTGCTCAGTACTGTGGGTGGATGGGTGACTGGATGGATGGATGGATGGATGGATGGATGAAATCAGTGCCACCCTTACCTAATTTCCCTTCTTACCCAACTGAACCACTAGACCACCGCTGTTCATATTCACACACTCTACTTGATTACATGCCTGCACTACAGCCTGCATATTACACATTGCATCCTCTTTCTCAAAGCCCTGCGTGATCTCAATCATGGTTTTTCTTCCACTTAATACAATATTGCACAGAATGCTGTACACACTTTACTGCTTATATTGCATGTGCTTTCCTTATATAACTCATCTTTCCATAGTGGGAGTTAGGCTCTCAGCTCTCTGATAAACAAAGGCTAATTAGAAAATAAATAGCAGTGCTGTGGTAAACACTATGCTACGTAGAACACTACATTTGCTCTCAGAGAATGTGCTCAAACTCACTCTGTCTAAGGCACTCCTGATTATTCTGTAATTATTGGTGCAGGCTTATTAACACGTCATGTAATTAGTCATGTAATTAAGCTAGAACTAGAAGTGTTCAGTTCTGCTTTTAGCTTCATATTCAGAGGTAGCAACTTCTATAAAAGTGATAAAAGGCCTGTATCATGGACATTTACTGTAGTACAGACATATACAGACAAACCTTCTACAGGGAACAAACTTAAATAAGGTATTATACTGAAATTTTAGTGCATAGTCTCCATTTTTGGTGATATTATTATATAATATATAACATATTGGAAAATGTGCCATAACTTTTGCACATGCCACATTTTGTGTTTTATTGTGTTCCAATATGTTCGATTCATTACATGAACAGTAACTGTGCATTAAAATGTGCAGAAGTGTGTTCTAGATTATATGTTAACTTTTTTTTTTACTAAGAAAATTGACAAAACATGTTACTTGACAAGGGCTGCCCAAACTTTTGCACATAAAGTTTTAAAACATATCCTCCTCCAGATATTTAAAACATCATTCCCCAATCCAAACAGTTCATCTGTGGAAAATAATAAGCTGTGAAAACAGCCTGATTTGAATTCATTGTTTTTGTGATGTCACAAAAAACAACATGTTGACATATATTCACCAATTACAGCAGTTTAGCCCCGCCCATTCACACTGAAGTTATAAGGAGTGTTTCAGCCCGGACTGTTTATAGAATCAGGCACGATACAGGACAGCCAATCAGAACAGAGCTCATTTACATATATAAGTCTTTTTATATTCTTAGGAATATAGAGTGGTCATGTAAAAGTGAATTACGACTGTTTTTAGTACAAAATACCACACAAACATTATAAGTGGAAAAAAATGTAAATGAAAAGATTTGGCCACTTAAATGTGAAGATTCCAGGATGGAGACGCTAGCAAAGTTAATCAAATTCACAGCAGCGTTCAAGCTTTGGGTTTTAAAGCTTGAGATGCGGCACAGGGAGACAAAGGGAAGTCAGTAAATTAGGAGTTCATTAGGTTGCCCACACACTGTGGACTAATCTGATGAGAATCGGACATGAAACTCCTCGTCCAAGGTTTCACTACACAAACAACCCCCCGAGCCAGAAGAGCTGAGCCAAAACAATTCTCACTCTAGGTGTCCAATAAATGTGCGCACACGCACACTTATAAACACAATCCACAAGACAGCACCAAGTGGTCATCTGTCTGGGTGACAAAGCCCACATAGCCACACGCATACTGTCAGTAAAGCAGCGTGGGCTGGAAGCAATGTTTCTGCTCCAACAAACCAGCCCACATGGAAGAACAGTCTTTTTGTGACCGCCACCATGTTGTTCATCATGAATCTTAATCTATAAATGGTGCCTATGACAGTGCGACACTTTTAAATTGATAATGCCAAACAGTTTCGCACTTAAAAGAATGGTTTGGCACAAAATCCAAATTTACACATTTTTCCACTTTCCCCAGATGAAGCCGAACAGCCAAGACATGTTTGGTGTCCGAATTTTGTATCTTGAGTTCAGCGCTGGAGCTATAAGGCTAATGGCGCTAACATGCAATAGAAGTAAACAGTCACCCAAATCTTTTATCTAAATATATCCTCAAAATGTCTCTCAAACCATGCAAGAAAGATGGAAGTGCATGATCTCACCCTCAAACTCTTCAGAATACTCTGGCATAAGCATGAATCTATTGGTGCTCTTCTTGAATCCCAGCACTTCTGTCACTCTGGAGTTGACATTGTCACTGTTTGTTGCATTGTG